AGGCGTGGGGAAGGCGGTCGGCGGTCGCTCCGGTCCGAGGGGCCAGTCGTCGTCCCAGCCCACGGCCGTGCGGGGGGAAGAAAAAGACGCGTGGCGCGGCTGACAATGAGGCACGAAGCTCCGGTGCAGGTCCGTCACACCAAGGGCGGGGACGGGAACCTTGGGCGAGCCTCGGAGAACTCTAGGCGCGCACATCCACACGTCGGGGGGGGGGCGAACCGAGAGAGAGAGAGAGAACGAGAGAGCGGGCAATGGCGCTTGGGGAGGGAGGCGCGCTCTGGACAGAACAAGAGCGCGCCCGCGCGTAGCGGATCCCATTGGAAACTCACTCAGCTGTGGGATCCTGGCTCGCGATTTATTTTTAAGAAATAGGGGTGTTGGGGGGGGGAGGGAAAGGCTGCTTCCAGGCACACATCCTGTGCATATTCCCCTTCCTCGTTATCGCCTTTCCTGGTCACACCGGACCTCCGCGCTCCTTCCTCTTGCGGGTCAGAGAGGGGATACTTAGTGCCAAAAATTTCTGATTAATTGCTGAGCGGATCCAACCTCACAGACGGCTTGCCATTGGCAACCCCGTTTCCTCCTATCAGAAACGGACTCCCAAAGACACCACAGCATTTTCAGTGAGCGTTAGGGCTCTGGGGTGGGGTGAGGAATGGGCTCCTCTCTTTACAGTTTATACTGGGTGCTAAATTTTATTTTTCTACCTTATTTTATTATTTTATTAGCATTTGTGAAGCTCCTATTAGGGCTGCCACCCTAAATGCTGCTGAGTGAGCTCCCAATGAAAACAGGAGGATTTCTGAGAGTACAGCTGCATGAACACAAGGAGCCATCCTATGTGCATTTACTCAGAAATCCCACTCCATTAAATGGGCCCCATTCCCAGATAAATGTTGAATTGGAGGCTTAATGTTGGAGCTTCAATTTAGGTGCTTTCCCTGATGTGGCATATTTTTGCCTTAAGAGATGATGGAAATCTAGGACTGCTCAGTTCTTTTGTATGGGAACTGAATTACAGCATGAGTGGCATGAGCAATACATAATGAGTTTTGTGCCATAGGTAAATCAAGAACTAATAATAGTAGCAGGATTAATGTTTAATATATCTGAAGAAGATAGTGATAGTACCTTGTTATGGACATGATCTGAAACAAAGAATAATATTATGAGTCGTGAAAACTGAAAGTAATCCTTCTGAAGATGTGTGTGAAAACTCTTGATGTTTGTTTTAGAGAAACAAAATACAGCTCAGCCCATTGAGATATAAAGAATACGCATTTTTGTAGCCTAAGGTAACTCTTATTGTTGATCCATCATAATAATGTACGTGGTCTTCAAACCTATACACAGTTTTCTGAGAGTAAAAGCAACTGAACCCAATGGGACCTACTTCTCAGTAGACAATTATATGATTGCACAATTAATGTCCTTATTTTTTTCCTATATGGCCACACCAATAACTTATCGTTAAGGTGGCATTTCCACCATGCAAATATTGACAAAACATAATTCATTCTGCTACTAGAAATCTGGCTAGTGGGTCTTTATAGACGTGTTGTGAGCTATTAAATGCTTGACAATGCATTGATTTGGCAAGAATGTTTTCTTTCTTACGATTATTTTATGGCATTATTCCTTTCAACTTCAAAAATGAAAAGAAAATTAAATCATCACTTTGGCATCATTACTTTTTTATTCATTGTGGCCTGTATCACATTCTCAATAGCATATATTGGGTGTGTTTGACTTTATAATAACCTCATTCACATCAGTTGTGCTGTGTTAGACTGCATGAGACATGATGCTACATGCTCAAATCTTTTTTAGCCCAGAGGAACCTGCAAGTAGAGAAAAATAATTATAGTAGAGCTGAATACATAAGTAATGAATATTCATGTTGTATTTTAAATACATTTAAGTATCACATAAGTCAGAAGAAGCAAATTATAAAGGTTCAAATAAAAATCCTCTTTACCTCAGTAAAATTCCTCCCTTTAAAGGATGCATATACAGTATTTTCTTAATCATAAGTAAAGGTGTGTGTTATTATTGCTGGTGGATTAGTTACAGGTGTTTCATAGTTTAAGACAATGAGGCTGCAGTCCTCTGTACACTTAGTTGGGAATAAATCTGTAAATGCAGGTGGACTTACTTTCTGAGTAATCAAGCATAGAATTGGGGAGTACATGGTTGTCACCATATACAGTGCAGCTGTTTGCAGTTGCTTGAGGGTAATTCCCATTGCATGAGGTTGCTCTTGATCAAACATGAACAGAACTGGGCTGCATAGAGAAAATAGTGGAGTTAAGGTAACAGGAAAAATATGTGATTTCACATTGTCTTAGTGCACATTCTATTGAGGACAGCCCCCCCCCCCAAAAGAGTAGCCGTGTTCATCTTTTGTAGCTAAGATAACCTAAGGTCTTGTGGCACCTTGCAGACTATCAGGGATGTTAAAATAAATAAATAAATAAATGCACAATCAATCAATCAATCAATCAGTCAGTCAGTCGATTGATTGATTGATTGATTGATTGATTGATTGATTGATTGATTGATTGATTGATTGATTGATTGATTGTGTGCACATTTTCATGGGTGGAAATCCAATCCTTCTGAAGAAATCAGCAGCAGTCCAGAAAGCCTCATGCTGAATAAAATGTGTTAGTCATTAAGGTGCCACAAACCTCTTCAGCTTTATATGGAAAAGATCACCATCATCATTACTGATATACATAACGAGACATTAAGAGATCTGAACCTCAGGAGATTTAATATGTAGAATAAAGGCAGGGAAACAAAATGAAAGGAGGAATGAAGGCATGGAAAGGTAGGAGGCAAAAATTTGGTTAGTCCAATAGAAGATACTTTGGAATAGTTACTGTAAGCTCAAGGGAGGAAGCCAAAGATGCAAAAAACAAAAAACAAAAAACTTCCTGGAAATGGTGAGTTTGGAGAAGAGACTTAAAGGAAGGCAGGAGAGGGAGATCACATGACAACATTCTGGAAGGGAGTTCCAGGGAAGTGGAAGGAGTTTTCTTGCGGGAGCAGGAGATCCTTGGTCAGCTGAGGGTGGGGAAGCTGAATAAGCAAAGTTCACAGAAAGACATGTATCAGGATAGAAACACTGAAGCTGAGGTTCAGGCCAGTCCATGGAAGGTTCCGGAAGTATCGAAAAGAGCCTTGCTTACATTCTGAGAGTGAAGGGAGAGACATTAAAGTAGTTCAAGTAATGGGGTTACACTTAAGGCCTAGAGCCATGATTGCAATATAAACAAAGCATGCAGCTTATATACCACCATATATGCACTTAATGCACTCTCTGGGCCATTTACAATGTAATTATGCAGGACTATGCATTGTTATTGTTCCTCCCCCCTGCCCCAAAGGGAGCTGGTCACTCAGTTTACTGACCTTGGAAGGATGGAAGGCTGAGTTAACCTTGAATTGGCTACCAGAGCCCATTGGGATAGAACTCATATTGTGAGTCTTCACTGCAGTACTACAATTTAACCACTCCACCATGTGTCTTCTTAGATAGTGAATAATTTTGGATTAATTTTTTATCAAGAGTTTACAATTTTAGCTCAGTCTCAGGTTTCCATTGCAAGTTAAAAATACTAGCTTTTCCTCTCTCCTTAGACAGCAAACGTGTTCCTTTTTACATAAACAAGTAGCAGCAAAGCTGTCAAAAAACCCCAAACTGTGGGGGAAAGGGGGCAGTGAGGTGAACTAATAATGCATTCGAAAGCCTCCTGCATAATTATAATTACAGAGCATCTAAGACGCTCTGAGATATGAAAATGCAATCAGGCAAAGTACTTCAGATTAGCATTTGAAGATCACAAATATAAACGCTTCATCTCTCCTTCCACCACTACCTCCCTTACTGAATGTATCTAGAACTATTCTATCTAAACCTTCATGTAATTTCAGATTTCATTGTGAGTTTGTTTGATAGTGGATTGGGTTTTAGTTTTCTGTATGGAGATTGACAGTCTTCGCAAAGGGGCTAGTGGGTTGATTTAATGAGTTGCTTCCTTGGGTTAATTTTAATTTGTTAGTAAAAGGAAACTCAAAGGTTAGAAGTTCAGTTCCTCACTGTGCATCTCAGAAGAGCCAGCCTGTGTGGTCTTGGGCAAGCTACACAGTCCAGGAAGAAAGAAATGGAAAACCATTTCTGAGTACTGTAAGATAAAGGTTCCCCTTGACATTTTTAGTCCAGTCGTGTCCGACTCTAGGGGGTGGTGCTTATCCTGTTTTCAAGCCGTAGAGCCAGCAGTTGTCCGTAGACAGTTTCCATGGTCACATGGCCAGCGTGACTAGGGAATGCCGTTTTACCTTCCCACTGAGGTGGTACCTATTTATCTACTCGCATTTGCATGCTTTCGAACTGCTAGGTTGGTGAGGAGCTGGGACAAAGCAACGGGAGCTCACTCTGTCGCATGGATTTGATCTTACGACTGCTGGTCTTCTGACCCTGCAGCACAGGCTTCTGAGGTTTAGCCCACAACGCCACCACATCCCTGTCTCTGAGTACTGTAGTACCTAGAAAATCCTGAAAGGGGGTGCTGTGACTTGGTGAAACACAATTATTATTAATTAGACATTAATAGGAAATTAACTAGAGCTGTATTCACACACTAGACATTGTGAACAGCAAACACTTAAGGAGATAAAAACACACTCACTTCTTCCTTTGTCATCAATCCCATTGCCCTGTGTGTGTGTGGAGGGTAATGGAAGCTCTTCAACAGAATTAGAACTCTGGAAAACTGGAGTGATGAAAACAGGGTAAAATGTGATGCAGTGTCCATGGTTTCTAACACCTGAAAAGAGCTTCAATCATTTCATAGAAAACCATGCATTTGTTCAGTCAGGGCTCCCTTTCACAGGAACTCTGTAAACACATTAAACTGAACACAATTACTGTCTTCTTTTTAAACCTTTGCACTCAGTGTCTAACTGATTTAAGGGCAGGGATTACATGTATACATGCGACCTTATCAAGCAGTTGTTCATCACCAATATAGTCCTGTTCAAATGTCATCAAGCAGTTGTTCATGTCTTCATCACCAATATAGTCCTGTTCAAATGTTTTCTTTGACAAACATCTGAAAAAGACTTTTGATACAGAGATAGTCCATATACTGTGTTCCTTAAACCTCTATGGATTGTAGAATTAGATAAAAAGAATAGCTTGTTTATTTTCCAGTTAGTGTGAGGCGCCTGAGGTAGCATACATTGTTCTTCTTCTCAACGGACATCTCTGTGAGATAGATTAAAATGGGCTGCAAAAGTATGACTGTCCCCAAGGTCACATCCATTGGGCTTTCTGTATGAAACTGGAGATTTGCACTCAGCTCACCCCACTGTCTTGTCTGACACTTTCACCCAGGAGTGGGAGACACATGCCTTTATCTGTGTCTGCCTGAACTGTATCCATGGGGTGCTTCTAACTATGTTCCATCAGGTCTACATCTCTCAATAGCCCTACCCAGCATAGCCAATGGGTGCAGATGATTGCGGTCTAAAAAGGTCTTGATGGCCATATGTTTGCCACCCTGCTTTACTACTGGTCTTTCCAGCTGACAGACATGCTGATGAGTTAAAGGTGGTTCCATTAATCAGTTTCCTCTGTTACAGTAACTAATTTTAATAATCATGTGACATCAGATCAGTGCCAACTGACCATGCCCTTTGCCTGAGTTTCCAAGGGAATACTAACAAAGTGGTTTGCCAGTCCCTTCTACCATAATTCAAGTCGGATACTTACTAAAGAAGTCACCATTTGGAAGAATTCTAATCCTAAAGGTTGGCTTGGATCAAAACTTCCTTTAGCTCAGACCTAATTAATTAAGCTGGCTTTCATTGGTCCTTCTCTGTCCATATTTATCAAGGAATACCATGGCCTGCTCAGATGTCCTAGGAACCTCAGAGGTAAAAGATGATCTGCATTCTTTGGACCATTTCTCCACTGAGCATTGTTAGTTCTATTTTACACATGTAGATTTACTTAACATCTTGCCGTTTTATGTCTTGCCAAGTTTCTGTTGAACTCATGACTTGAAACATTGTGACTGGCATGACATTGGGAATTCAGAAAGTCTCATATGTCACATCTGATCTGTGAAGGTCCACCTACATAGCATGAAAGTAATCTCCAATTGAATACCAGTCTGCTTCATCTGAGATACCCATGACCATCTGAGGTATGGGAAAAAGCAGATAGATATGATTCCAAAAACTAATCTTGGAGTTGCTCGGAGTTGAAATGAGGTGGCTAGAATCTAAAGTTTGTGTCTGAATAAGCTTCTGACATCAGTGAGGCTGGAGAAAGAAATGACTGAGGAAAACATCAGACTATGATGTCACAAATGTCTCTATGGTATCAGTATCCACCCACCCCAATCACCAACTGTTCCTGCATAATGAAGGTTATATACAGGAAAATTTGAGGACATTTGTTTGTAAATCCAAGACCAGAGATGAATCCTATCCACATTAAAATTCAGACCAAGGGGAAAATGTAATCAGGATGAGCCATCATTAATGCAGTGAGATAAATAACATACTGCATGGAGTTCTAAATGCATATTGGCCACCAGCCATGAAGATCAGAAATATTGGTACATTCCAAGATGCCTTAAATTTGCTAGTGTCATTTTTTACAGCCTGTGATTGTAGCTGGCAGATTCTATAACAACAGAGATGGGTCACTTGCAGCCACATAAGCACAAAGCATTGCAGGTCCCACTGAAGCTAAGACACATTTTTGTATCTCTGGTAGGTAATTACTGTGCAATTCGTAGTATGTCTGAATGTTGTACATAACAAGCTAAGCATTCATGAATAGGAATTGAGAACATCTGGCCCTCCAGCTGTTGTTGTCTTTTGCCAGCTCTAGCCAAGCCAGCCAATGTTGAGGAGTAAGGGATGGCATTCCAGTAACATCTGGTGGCCATAGATTCCCCACCTCTGATTTAGAGAAGCTGCATGTATGCCGCAGAGTGAGCAGTGTAGTTCAATTAATTTTCAAAGAATCCATCAGTGTTCACAAATCAAATATTTGGAAGGGAAAGAGTTGTAATTTTAGAATGTCAAATGTGAGAAGCAGAAAATGAGACAGATTTCCCCTCTCTTATACTTGAAAGATTTTAGTAAGAAGAATAAAGAAGGCAATGATATGTATTATCCTTGCTAATTATTGAAAATGGGTGGCCATTATGATATTTTTGAAACACATCTGGCACTTGGAAATTGACAAAAAAAAATAAAGGAAGCACAACAAGCCTTAAGACAGGAGTAGTTTATTACATCAAAGAGCAGAATGGGAATTTGGTTTTGTGTGACAAAAGTTTATTTCTGTGTGGCAATACTAGTAGCAATTCTTGAATCCAAAGGTGTATATGATTGTGTATTGTGATGATATATAAAGAACAGAAATTCTGTTCTTTGAAGTGCTCTGTGAAATGCCAGTCAATGAGCCAAACTTCCCAACATCAACGTAAGGTATCACTAGCCAAGTAATTTTTTTAAACACAACTGGATGGAAGAAACGTGAGGTTGGTAGCTTTCCAGCCCAACTCAGCACCTTGGCACATGATCTAGATTAGCTTGCATCATTTATACATTACTATCGCATGCAGAGCTGTAACTAGCCATGTGAATTTGCTTTTGTTCAGACTCTAAAACCCAGAATTCTCCATTCTGGGAGTTCCACCTTCCAGGCTGGCACCTAAATTGCAGTCACCTGGAGGAAGGCTGGTCTGGAAGGCCTCACGGAAAAGGGCAGGCTCAAGCATAGCTTGCTGTAGGAAAAGGAAGCTGCCCCAAGTAATTGCTGGAACTACAAAACTGAAAGGAATTCTGAAAGGATTGTGAGATTATTTTGTAAACTCTCCTCATGTTTATCCCCCTCCTGATGTTTATCCCTGCTGGGAAAAGTTGGACAACAGGAAAAGAGGAAGACCAAATATGACAAGGATTGACTCAATAAAGGAAATGTCCTTGAATTTACACGAGCTGAATTTCCCTTTTCAACTTTCAAAACCTGCCTTCCTCGCTCTCTTTGGTGTACGAATATGAACTCATTTCTCTATGATGAATTCCCAACTGTGTGAAAACAACTCTGATCTTCATATCTTTAAGCAGTGGCTATATTATTTATAAAGGAGTAAAAAAAACTCACATTAGCGTCTCTCGATATAATGAAGGTTTTATACGGCCACACAAGACAATGAGTGCTTTGAGGAACTCAGTGTTCCTCAGAAGAAGCTTATTAACTCTTGCTTAAAGAAAGGTTAGTAATAATGTCATGGGGCACAGGCTTCTATAATTGGCTCACTAGTGCGAACCCTTCCCTGCACTACATAGCCATTGAGAACTGCTGGGTATCTTCCAGAGCATCTTGAAAACTATGGCTGGACAGGTTTCAGACAGCAGGATCAACTCTGAATTCTTGTTATTTGATAGAATGCCAAAACCCACCAACCAGAGCAAAGTGGAACATACTGACTGAAGTGCTGATGTACACTTAGAATTACAAAAATCCTCAACACATGCTCTACTCATGCTCTACCCATGCTCTACTCATGCTCTACCCCTTTTCAGTATGAGAACTGTGCTTCCAGCCCTGTTCTCCATCTAAACATTTTCTTCATTTGGGATTGGAGGTTTTGTTACTGATGCCACGACTATGTTAACTACTGGTAGACCTTAACAAATTATTTTTAAATATAGAATTACCAGAATTTTTCAGCTGGCATGGCTACTGACAACTAGGAATGCTAGTTCAGAAAAGGTAACTGTTTTAATTCTGATACATTTAGGAGCCTGTCACCATTTACAACCAATCATTCAGATATCTACCAGTAAACCCAATTTGCTTTCTGCCTACCCAAGCTCTCTCAGATTGAATACTGGTCCAGTGTGCTCTAGCCCCACAGATGGCAAAGTATGAGAAGGAAATCTATTCACAAACAATTGACTGTAAGTTAGACCTCTCTTTGTAACACAAGAATGTTGATCAGGCATGATCCCTGAATTGGTTGTGGTGTTTCTTCACACAAACGTGGGTCCATGCCATACCTTGCTACTCAGCACTGCAGGATCTCTGAACTGAGGACAAGGGGCATGTACCCATGGATGCTCAGGACTGGGTCAATGTGTGCAGCCCCACATTTAGCTATTGTGTTCAGCCTATCCTGGATTTTGGGACCATAGTGGGTAACAAAGGAAGAAAGTTTCCAACCTTCTTCCCCAGCATGTGATTTCCCAGTCCAGATTTAGGTCTTTTTCACTTGCTTTTTATTCATAACAGGAAGGGGAGAGAAACATAACTGCTAGTTGCATCTTTAAAGTACTGTTTATTATGTCTCAGTTTTCCCTCACCCAAATCCCACAATGTCCGTTGCTACTTGGAAAGCTCCTCCTGAGTAGGAACTGTTTATACTAACTTTCCTGCCACTTAAAGTAGATCCAAAAACAGTGATAGGGCTTCTTTGGTATTGGGTTGCTTTCTGACCTCCAGGCCTTGCACAGACTCTTCTCAGAGCTTGAGAATAATGTGTCAGTGTTAAAAATCACTACTTTTACATTAAACAGGAGGGCAAGCAAATTGATGCATCTAATGTTCTAAAAATAATGTTTTGAAAGTAATGTTAAATCATCATATCAGGGGCCTCATTCAGGATTTTTGTTAGATCATTACTTTCAAAATGCAGTTTTAGGGAGCTGAGATTATGCATCAATTTGCATTCCTCCTATTAAACACAAAAGTAACGATTTCAGTGCTAGCACTACTTCTAACATTACTCCCACACTCTGAGTATTCTTGGTAAAATATGGGGCGGTAGTGTTTCCTATTGATTTATCCCTGTTATTCCCCTGTCTTTATGTCATGGAGATCCCATAACACGTAGTTGTAATAAATACTAAGATTCTGTATGTATCGGAAAAGCACTATAAGCTAATTAACTACTATTAATTGTTTCTTTTTATTGTTGTATACTTCCATGGTGAGTATGCATTTCTACTTCTGAGATCTGTTGGAAAAACAAAAGTGTAACACAAATACACACAAGACACTTTCTAAATAGTATCTTAAACTTCGAAAAGTATCCTTCACTATCTGTAGTGGATTACTTTGGTGACTTTAAGACTCTAATGCATTAATATTGCCTTATTTTATATGGAAGGTGAAACAGGAAGATGCAAAACATCTCATCATTTTGCTTGTTTATTCAGAATCCATTCCCCATTATGTTGGACTCAAGTAGGTTTGCGTGGGCCTTTACCTCTTCAGCCTGATCTTTTGCAGGTTTAGTTCAAAGGGGACTATAGCAGGACAGTTTGAAATTAAAACAAAAAGACAAAAGACAAAATTCCTGCCATAATGCTTCAACTAATGAAAGCACAGTAGATTGTTTTAGAACAACATTACGCAAATCAGTGTCCTTCTGATGTGCCAGACTACAGTTCCCCTCAGTCCCATCTGATGTCTGTGCTGTTTGGGGCTGATGGATTTGTAGTGAAACAGGTCTGGAAAGTGCAAGGCTTGGAAATGTTGAGCTAGGACCGCAGAATGCAGGATTCAAATTCCCATTTGGCTATAGCTATCCTTTGACCATGCATATTATTTCACATTAACATGTCTCACAGAGTGGTTGTGAGTGGTGTTATGGGAAGGCCTGCCCAAGTTGTCCTGAACCTCCTTGGAGAAAGGAAAGGAAATGAATGTAATTAACAGAGCACATTGGACTCCTGCATGCTTTCAGTGCTTAAGCATCCTGTTGGATAACAAGTGCTGCAGCCACAGGCCGACCTGCTCCACTTACGGAGGAAATGCACAGTAATAACAGCCTTTTGGAAAGATTTCAAAACACAAATTGACATGGCATCAGGCAGGCCTTGGGGACAAAGAAAATAAATGCTAGGCTAGGACTAAGGAAGGATTTATTTTGCCTTCTCCCATGGTCACCTTTTTCCTGATTTTTTTGTTTGTTTGTTGCTGCATCAGCATTTTTTAAAAAAATACACAGGAAAATACATAGACAATTTGGAAAACATTTTGTGCTTTTACATGTGTGTGCATTTTGCAAGCCATGTTCCTAAAATATGCCTTTTTTAAAATCTTACTTTCCCTATTTCATATGCAGCTTCCTAAAAATGAGTTTTATTATGGACAGCTCCACTGCAAAAGTATTCCTTTGAGAAGTGCAAATTTGCTTAGCTTTTGCTAAGATGGTATGATTCATACAAATGTCCCTGCTCTATCCTAGGTTATAGCATATATTTGATGAACGGAAATTGGAGAGAGGCCAAAGAGATTGGTTTGTTAGGATCCTCTCTGGTTGCCAATGATTGTCAACCCCTTGAAATCCTATACTTTATGAAAGACAGGAAGATGGATCCTTGATATTTGCTAAGCTGGCTGACCTAGAACAATGAATTCTAAACTGTTGCACTCAAAAACCACTGCTCTATTTGAGATGCTTGGATGACATTTTAATTATCTGGATCCACAGAAAATAAATCCTGGAGAAATTTCATCAGGACTTAAAGTTATTTAAGCAACATCATCCTTAGCCAAGATCAGTCTGCACAACAGATGCACTTTCTGGACACAACTGTGAAGCTACAACACCAATATCTTAGCACCATGCTGTATTGAACTCCTACTGGCTAATATACATGCTTGTCTCCAGCTTCCATCCTGAGCACACCACAAAATGTATCATTTACATCCAAGCCCTCAGATACAATCATATCTGCTTGGACCCACAAGATAGAGACTCCAGACTCAGAGATCTACAAAAGGCATTTCTCTGACTACAATACCCATCCAATATGGTCAAAGAACAAATTAGCCACACAAGACAAATAGCCAGAAACAACCTACTACGAGAGAGAGCCAGAAGAGAAAACAGTCAAACACCACTAGTTGTCACTTTCTGTCTACAATTGAGACCAGTCATGTGTGTCATAAGCAGTCTTCAATTCATTCTTGACAAAAATGCTTCACTCTTCCAAGCTCTAGGTGACAGGCCTATACGTGCTTACAGACAACCCCACAAACAACTATCAACACACAATGGACTACACACCACTGATGCAGAGATGGGCTAGCTCTATCCCCACATCTACTCTGGCAACATGATAAGAGGCCCCAATAATATCACACACAACAGCAGTAGCATGTTTCCTTGTTCCTCTTCTAATGTGATCTATGCCATCCTTTGCCAACAATGTCCTTCTGCACTCCACGTAGGACAAACAGGACAATTTCTGTACAAAAGAATTAATGGACATAAATCCAACATCTGGAATGGCAACACACAAAGCTCGGTTTTGGATAATTTCAGTCAACCTGTATATTCTTTGAATGACTTGAAAGTTGCCATACTCAGGAGGAAAAAACGTAACAAATCAAGATTTGAAAAAGAAGCAGCTGAAAGAAGGTATGCTGGCACCCACTTAAAAGGACTGAATATCAATCTAAGGTTTTTAAGTCATTACCAAGTATGAAAGGATACACTGATTCTCATAATTAGCCATTTATTTCAAATATGTTATTGTTACCTTATAGACTGATAATTAGCTGGTTGGGTAGCTCAGTGATTTAGGAATCTAGCTGCAGATCCAGAGGTTGGGAATTAAATTCCACACCATGTATCCCAGCAGAAGCACCTTGTGTGGTCTCAGGCAACTGCACAGTCCCAAGGTACACACATAAGAAGGGAATGGTAAATCACTTCTGGTCTCTCTACCAAGAAAAACATGAAAAAGGATCAACATAAGGCAGAACTGACTTAACGGCACAGGATGATGATGATGATGATGATGATGATGATGATGATGATGATGACGACGACGACGACGATGACAACAACAACAACAACAACAACACTGATAATTGGCATTACTCATAGCCCGATAGCCTTTACTAATGAACCATTGTCACTTTGTTGATTATCTATATCCCAACCTGGCCATGGGACCATGTATAAATATGACAGTCATATTGTCTCGTGTGTGTGTGTGTGTGTGTGTGTGTGTGTGTGTGTGTGTGCGCGCGCGCGCGCTCTGCTACTGTACGTTTTTAAAAGGCCCTTTTTTGAATGGAAATATTTATTATAGGTATTTGGCTTACAGGGATGGGGGTGTAGATTAGAACCTGTAAAATTTTATTCTCTTCCTCTTGCATCTAGCGCTGAGAAGTTCAACAAAAGATAAATAATTTTAAGTTATACAATGCCAGTATCAGTATTTTTGGGTGGAGAAAAGATAATGACTTCCATTCCCACCTTCTTTGAAAATTACAGATGGCCTCTGCACAAGACAGCAGGTATGGGCAGAAAGACACATCAGACCAGAACTTTGATTACATGTTCAAACTGCTTATCATTGGCAACAGCAGCGTTGGGAAGACTTCATTTTTGTTCCGTTATGCCGACGATTCTTTTACGTCAGCTTTCGTAAGCACCGTTGGAATTGATTTCAAAGTGAAAACTGTTTTCAAAAATGAAAAAAGAATCAAATTACAGATTTGGGTAAGTACATTACTTTTTTCACCTTTGTTTAGATGTTTATGTGATGATTGCTAAGGACACACCACTTTCTTGCACACAGCTTGCCTCACTCACTCGAGTTCTCATTTGATATAATTCTGAGCACACGTGCTCTCTGGTTGTGAAACAGTTTGCTGTGGTACTTGTCTTCTGAAACACTTACGTTTTGATCATCTTTCTTGTGTCTAAATTCTATACTAGACTGTAGTTTTCTAGAAAGTTGAAGGTAACTAACTTCTACAGCTAAGTGTAACAGCACACAGATATTAGGGTTGTACAAAATTATTTGTTCTCAATGAGACACATCTGGCTATTATCATAATGTTCCAATCCATACTGAAGCTTGGGGAAAGTTACTTTTTTGGACTCCCACTCCCCAAATACCTGAGTTATTGTGGCCGTGTTGGCAGGGGATTCTTGGAGTTAACAGTCCAGGAAGTAACTTTATTGAGTTCTGCTCAAAGTCAAGTCCCAAACGCAATAGACTTAGAAGGGCAAAACAAATAGCTTGATGTGTGTCTAAAAGTACAAACCACCCACCTGAATAGAGAGGGCAGATAACAGGGAATTTAGTTTATGGCCTCTTCACATCAGCACCTACAGAATAAAATAAAATGCCTCTGGGTGTACAGTATATAGCATTGTACATTTTGCCCAGCGCTTTTTGCAGTTTTTACAGAGATTTTAAACAAAATCCCAAGTCCCCTATTCCTCTCTCTTCTCTTCTTATTCAGTGTGATTAGAAACTCAGCAACTTCTTCCATTCTTGATTAGCTTCTGTTTAGCACCATTAAGTCTGAACTCTAAGCAGTGGTCAGTTTTAATTATGACTCATTGAAAAAGACCAACCTCACCCAACTTGAAAAAGTTGCTTTTTTTTGCGTTATAGTTCCCATAGTTCCCCACCTAGCAAGTCATAAATGACAAATGGCTTGAGACTGACTTGCTTCAATGATTAACTGCAGGTTGATCAGGTTCAGGCATTACAACAAGTTTCTGATCTTCTTGCAGCTTGTGCAGGAGGAGCAAAAGATGACCAGATGCACAGAGCCCAAGACTTGCTCTGGTTTGTTCCTATCATGAGATCCTACAGCTTATCACTGCATCTCAATGAGTTTGTGTATTGTTCTTTGACCCCAGGAGATCATCTATGCATCTTGTGACTTTTTAATTTCCTTCTTTTAAAAATAATATTTGCCATGTCAACATCTGAGCCTGTCTTGATAATATACTTTATAATGTTTTCACTCAGAGGCAAGCAATACCCTTAGAAATTGTAAAGATACATGCTAGTTTTCATTGATGACTCCTTATTACCGCCATATAATAAAGTAGCAAATCATTTTTCTTTCATACAAAATTCACATATCTCTTATTTCTAGAATGTGTGCGGTGGATCAAGTCTCTTGTATTAGTAATCACAAATGGATGCAGGAAATTGTACTTTATTCTAGTATAACACTCTCTCCACTCTCTCCCCCTCCCCCAGCTGACATGGAAATAAGTACGCGATCAAAGAAGTATACAAAAACATTATGTGAGAGGGAGAGCGAATGCAAGACTGTTGACCCTGCTCCCTTCTGCATGTCATCTGCAACCCCACATTGAACCTGCAGATCTGCAGCAGGAACCCTATTCATATGTTCACTAAAGGTTAATCTGGATGTCTGAGAAGAGGTTGATGCTAGCCTTGCAACCCTCACTGTTGCGGTACAAGTATAGAAAGCAACAATGCAAAGTGAATGCAAGACTGTTGACCCTGCTCCCTCCTGCATGTCATCTGCAGCCCCACGTTGAAGCTGCAGATCTGCAGCAGGGACCCTATTCATATGTTCATTAAAGGTTAATCTGAATGTCTGATGCTAGCCTTGCAACCCTCACTGTTGAGGTACAAGTATAGAAAGCAACAATGCAAAGTGGAAAGTCTTCTCTCTTTCGATTGCTGCTTTCCTATGCATTGTCATGCTTCCTTATAGTTATTCTACACATCCTATACTAGATGCTCCTTTGTTTGGACACCCTGAAAACATCAAGAGTTCCTAACCACAAAAAGAGGCATTACTCATAGAAAGAGTAGAGATTTGGTGACTCCAAAGTGAGCATTAAATCTGCTGCAGCAGTTCTCAACCTTGGGTCTCCAGGTGTTCTTGGACTACACCTCCCAGAAATCCTGGCCAGCACAGCTAGTGGTGAAAGTTTCTGTGAGTTTTAGTCCAAGAACATTTGTGGAGCCAAGGCTGAAAACCACTGTTCTAGATTGAATTTACGGGAACTATCCAAAGTGCTGAATCATATCTCCACAAAAGGGATAGGATTTAGCAGCCTCCACTGCATAGAGAAGACTCATCTCCTTGGAATGTCACTCTGCACGTGTAGAAGACAAAAGTTTGTGGGGATAAGGGTAACATTCTCTCTCTTGTCCTTCACAGATTAATCCCCCTTTTAAAAGAATGCCAAAATAGATCTTAGGCTACTCATGTTATTTAGAATGCTGTATGAACAGGGCTCTAAACCATTCAGGGAGGCTCTTCAGTCTCAGAGGAGGGATGGCCTTGATTACATGGGATTTAGAAGGAGAACCTGCAGTCTCAGGATATGAGATAATAAATCCTTTATTTCATTTTAAAATAGCCCAGTGTGTTTCAGCCTGAATTTCAGAGGCATTGATTTTTGGTCTATGTCAAATCTTTTTTCTTTATTTGGTCTGTACATAGCTCCACTCTGAGACTGCAGTTTCTTCTTCTGAATCACATTTGTTGTATGTACCAGTTCCTTTTGTTCCTTAATTACACGGGAGGAATCTTGACCAGTTATCCTCTGCACCTGCAAAAGTGAAGCTTTAGAGATCTAGGTCCCCAATAGTGTAATGCAGTTGATTCTTATAAAATGATCTCTTTCTGGCCAGAGATTCCTACAAAGAGGCAAAAATGTGAAGAATCCTGGATCCAGGTCTGTGCCAGGGCATGTAAAAGAGTTATTGGCTGCATGTGTTGTGTAGAGGTTAGAGACCTGGATTATTAGTCATGAGGTTCACTAGATAACCTTGGACCCACCAAATTCCGTCTGAATTTCCTCACAGGGTTGTTCTGGGGATAAAACTGGGAAGAGAAAAGCCCTGTACTTAAGGTTATTGAATGAACTTGACCTCTAAATTAATTGAAAAGTCTAACAAATAAATAAATAATAAAAAGGAAAGTGGGCAGAAACTGTTCAAAGCACAGCCTTCCCCAACTTGATGCCTCCCCAGATGTGTTGAAATATAACTCTCATTATCTCCAGCCAATACAGCCACTAGCCATACTGCCAGAGGATGATAGCGGTCACAGTCAAATACATCTGGAGGACACCAAGTTGGACAAGGAAGACATTGCAAATTTATCTTTGGACCAGTGGATTCCAAATCCACTTCTCTGCATGCAAGGACTACATTATCTCTCAGGATGAGGTTTGATGAAAACTTCCAAATTGGTCCTCTCAAAAGTCTTGACACTGAAAATGAATTGCTATTTTGGCTGTGACATTCTGTGGTCCATTTATTGAGATTTAGTGGTTTTGCATTCAGCAGTTTGGCTGCACTTAAAGCAGCTACAGTAAAATGGTAAGACAGCTATGCCCCTGAGGCGACTAATGAAATAAGATATGAATCTTTTGAAAGCTGTTCTGATTAACTGATTTCCTATAAATGGAATGGTCTCCCCTTATATCAAACCTGCATTGGCAGCCATGTTATTATAAGTGTGTAGGAACTGAAGCAGAAGGATCCTGCTATGTTCAATGGAGTTTATGGGAGGCACCATTTCCAATGAGTGGTTCTCCCATGTCTTCCTATTATTTCTTCCTTCTTTTTCTCTACTGCAGAAAATCCATTAAGGAAGAAAATTGGTATCACTGCACAATGCCTTTTGAGTGCAGTAAGAGGATATTGATGGGAGTGGGGATGTACATCTTTTCTTCATTTTGTTTGAAATGAAGCATGGTCTGTGTGCTTTTTATGCATGTTCCTTTAAAAAATGCAGAGGTATTTTTTGTACAAAACTAAATTTTGCAGAAAAAATGGGTTTCCTTTTGGAAAACCAAGACTTTAAATTTATGCAGAAAACCTTGCAAGATACAAGCATTTCAGTGTAAAATACAACTTTGTCATGTTGTTGCTGCCAGAAAAAAAAAGGGCTGGCCTTTTTGCACTTGTCTAGGAGTGAAAAATCTCATGGTGATGGCCCTTTTTTTCAGCTGATTTCATATGCTGAAGCAACCCTTTTCATCAAGGGCAAAAAGATCTGGAAGTACTTGTTAACATCCTTTGTGGGAAGCATCGATCTATATTTATTTCAAATAATGTATCCGTTTTTTCAGTGCTTATAGTAGATGCCATCATGTTCCCAGTTTCCACACAACACTGGAGCATGCTCTTCAATTGAACCTGTTTGAAACAATCTGAGTTTTTGTATGGAAAGCATTTTCTTTTATTTAACTGACTTTTTGAAATAGTGATGAATGTAACATTTAAGAGACATGTATATGCCATTCATGTGTATCACATGCATAGCATTTTAGGTATGCAGGGCTGTGTTTTCTGCTCATAAGAATATGTGCTGACATTAAGATCTATAGAATCTACAGAATAGTACCCATGAATCCCCCTCTATTCAGCACTGGTTAAGCCTTATCTAGAGTACTGTGCTCAGTCCTGGACACTGCACTTTAAGAAGCATGTCAACAAACTAGAGCAGGTTCAGAGGAAGCCAACAAGGATGATCAGGGGACTAGAAACCAAGCCCTAAGAAAAAAGACTGAGCATGTATGCAGTAGTCCTTCCTTAGTTCCTTCCCTTCCCATTTGCTGCTGAAGGAACTATCAATAGAAGACCGTAAAGAGCCTTGCCAGGCAGAGGCCAGACCAAGGATCACCATGGCAGTAGAGGAACTAACCCCATCTCAATTCAAACACTTATGACAACTGACCAGAGACATCCATGAAGGAAG